TGTTTTTGTTAGGATCTAAAATGCTCAGTTTTTAACCGAGCCAAGCTGGTAAAGACTTTCAGCTTTATTTGCAAAGATATTGTTCTTTGGGGCGAAATGTATGAGTTGTAAGTCATGTGTGAGTTTCCACTCAATAATCATGCAGAACTTTCTATTAGTTCTGCTCTATTGGATAAAATCCCCTTACTACATTGCAGTTTTTGCATGTAATTTGACAGCCCAGGAACAATTTTGAGATGTGTGAATAGTTTTGTTAGGTACTGTGAAGATCTGATGTAGATATTTGTTGTCTGTGATAATATCCAGCAGATAAGGCAATGCGCTTGTTGGATGAAAGCTGCTGGAATTGGTCAGAGAACGAGCCCCAGCCACCGGACCAGGATGGAGATATGAGTAGCCAGAGCTACTCCCTGGCTGAGCTCTACCCAACGATGGTCAGTCGGATAAGAAGAGCCTGGCATCGGCAGGCTGTCTCTGTGGCCGCCGGCTCTGTGGTGAGGAGGTACCGCAGATGGAGGCAGAGGCCTAAAGGAATCCTGAACAGCACATTTGACCTCACAGCAAGACCAGCTGATGGTGGTACAAAAGTGATCTTTCGTGGTTATATTTATGTCTAATGTTGATATGTGTGTGTATATATATATATATATATATATATATATATATATATATATATATATATATATATATATATATATATATTTGACATTTTCCTAATATATTTTTATGATTTCAAAGTTTTTGAATCTTCTGCCGTCTATGAATGTCTATAAGATGTTCGTCATTAGGCAGAAAATGTCGCACCTAATAAATCTGCCTTATCTTTATTTAAAGACATCTCCTGACCTCCATCTAAGGCTGGTATCCTAACATTTTTCCTTTTGCCTGTCCTTTTCCTAAATTCCTAAAGTCTCTGACCCTTGGGGGTTGCACATTTTTAAGCGTAGTGTATCCCACTTAAAGGGGAACACCGTTTTTTTTTTTTTACATTGGGCCCTTGATTTTACGTTATTTCACCATGTTCTACTCACCCATATGAGTTTCGTGTCATTTAGAGCCGTTCTGAAGATATTCGGTTAGGTTATATCTAGGGGTGTAAATAATAATCGTTTTGTATCAATGCATCGATCCAACAGCTGATGATTTGATGCATCGATACGTCCGCAAGAGTATCGATTCATGTTTTTTTTTTTTTTTCCTCCGGTCTATTTTTATCCATTTGCTCCTAGACATAATTCTCCCTCCTGTGCTGCACTGGCGCGAAACCTATTTTGCCCTCCTGCCTTGCTTCCTGGTTATACTCCCACAGCAGTGTGTTGCAGTGAGCTTGACACAGACATTTTTGATTTATGCTCAATATTGAAGCATGGTCTGCGCTACACACTGTGGGTTTAGATACGGCCGAGGCGGTGAGGAAGTGGGGGCGAGTTAAATCCGACGACAGAGGGACATGAGGTCCAAAAAGAGCGGAGATCCAGGTGGAAAAAGGGTCCCAGCGTTCTCGCGCACCTTGGTCTTCTAGCGGGTCAAACTTCACGAGTTGTTTTCCGCAATTTCGGTTATAAAAACAAAACAAGCCGGCCTCCTGTCTGTAGCTGACCGCACTGTTTGCGGTCAGCTACAACTTGGGAGAGGTGCAGTGGAGCGTCTGTGGAGGGGGCGGGGATGTCTGGAGCCGAGGTATTGCATTGGACTCATTGCACTGATTTTGTGCAGTATTTTTTTATGCAAGGCCTTTCAGAATCTATAACACAGAGGTATTATTTTTCAGTGAATGAGGTTTTAATAGGAATAGACGGAGTACGACTTTTCTACTTCTGTTATTTTCTGTTGTTTCTTAAAAAAAATGCATAACGATATTACAGCTTTCATTGATTTATTTCAAATTTGAAACGTCTAGCCTGTAAGGTGTAAAAAAAAAAAAAAAAAAAAAGAACCAATTAATCAAATCGTGTTTTTTTTTTTTTATATCGAAAATAATCGAATCGTTGGGTCAGGAAATCGATACCGAATCGAATCGCCATGATTGATGTTATTTGCACCCCTAGGTATATCCAAGTAACGTCTTCCTATGGGCAACGACTTGAAGGCACAAACTAAACTGTTCATAATTTGTTCTGTATGGTACGCCAGCATTCATAGCATGTAGGTGAATCACTGTCCCCCAGACATCCGTGGTTATATTTTTTATATTTATATGTTTTAAAAACAAAGCAGAGTGTGTATGACATCATCCGCACGCACTAGACATCTTGCAGGCATGTGAGTAAAACTAGCAGCATTTCAGCGGACAGGATGAATGAACGGTAGACGGCGCTCATGGATGACGTCATACACACTCCGCTTTGTTTAAAAAATATGTAGATATAAAAAATATAACCGCGGATGTTTGGGGGACAGTGATTTGCCTACATGTTATGAATGCTGGCGTTCCATAAAGAATAAACTATGAACAATTTAGTTTGTGCCTTCAACTTGTTGTCCATGGGAATACGTTAACTCGATATAACCTAACGGAATATCTTATATATATATATATATATATAATATTTTATCACTTTTCTTCTTCATTTGTACTGTAACATTAACAATATGGCACATAAATGCCACAAAGTTTTTTTTTCACCACCATTGTTTTTTCATCCATTATTTCACCCAAGATTTGTCTCTGATAATTCTGCCCTTGCTTTGTATTCCAAGTTTTCTTTCTTTGCCCTGTTTCTCCCAACCTCATTTCTCTTGCACAATCATTCCTTTGTCTTTTAACAGCTTCAGCGTATGGAACTATTTCTGTTATTTTGATTCTTTGAGCTTCTCTGGCTTCCCTTTGTACTTTACATCCAACATATGCCACGCTGTGTTCTTCTCCGCAGTAACATTTGATTTTAGCATCTTTATCACATTTTCCAAATTCATGTGGACCTCCACATGTTGCTCACTTAACTTTTCCTTTGCAATGTGTCCAGATGTAAAACAACTCAGGGGTTTAGGGATGTAATCTGTAGTTCATGTATCCCTGCTGAATATTTTCTGGCATAGTGTTTTCAAATGGTAGCATGACTGCCATAGTGTCTTTAAGTTTTTTTTGTGGATCACATATGTATAATTAATTATGTGTTTCTTTTTTTATTTAATTTCACAGCTCTTGTATCGTATGTGGGACGTTCCAACAACTTTCTAGATTCAAAGGTTTGTGATTGATTTATTCATAAAATGCATATGTGCTGTCTTTTGAAATTTGAATATTATATCAGAGACCTACATGTATTCTCTCCTTAGACCCAGCCAGATCTAGAGGACCAATCCTTGAACTGTAAGTTTACATAATATCTTAATAAAACTATTAAAGATTTACTTTTTTGGGTGCTGGTCTATCTTAAACCATGACTATTTTTCTTTGTAGCAGATACATCTTCAAACTCTGAGGTAAAACATATTTGTAAATATCTGACAATCATGCTAAGAATATCTTTAATAGTAATAACAGAGTGTGCTTTTCTTAATAGTTACATTTTCCCCATGATGATGATGAATCGGAAAACCAAAGTGTCTACAGCACGGAATTTCCTGAGGACCATGGCGGTAAGGATGGCGGTTAGGATACAGAAAGTTCTTATTATTGAATTTAAGAAGGAAAAAACATGTCACTCTTATACTAATGAATAATTTCACATATTTAGGGGATAGATTTAGCTATTGGTGTTGAATTGTGCACATCTAGCTTTCATAAAGGAAATGAGAGAAGAAAGCTGATTATAAATCCAGCAGATGTCCTTTTTGCAGTTTGCCCTATGCTATGTAACACTCAAAGCAAACATTTGGAAGAAGTGCCCTAGATAGATCAGGCCAGAACTGAACAGTAGTAATCATTGCCTCAAATATATTAAGAAGCTTTTTTTTATGGTTTATCCAATGTTTTAGGAGTAGCTAATTCATGATCCTGTGGGTACCGTATTTTCACGACCATAAGGCGCACCGTACTAAAAGGCGCACTCTCAGTTATGTGTGCCATTCCTGTATTTAACACACACATAAGGCGCACCGGACTATAGGGCGCGTTTTTTATATACAGGTACATGTCCTCTACTACCTTTAAATACCTCTACTGCGTATTTAAAAATACAGCGGGGGCAAAACTGAGTATGATTGTGCTTTATTCATTTATTTATTACAAAGTATTAATCAAACTTGGGAGCTGGCCGTGAGACAGACACATCGCAGATGACAGAGCGCTGTGATCGCTCCTAAATTAACTTAAAATCCTGAAACCTGCCGACAGAATATGTTCGCTTTTATTACCGGTATCCTGGTGCCTGCAGTTTAAATTATTTAGATGAAAAACACCTGCCAGCCGCCGCGGTGAACCTGGAGGCTGCCCGGCCTAGAGGCTGCTGATGAAGGGATTTCTACTGTCGGTGTACCGCTGGTATGTGGGGGTCTGAGCGCCTCCGACAGAAATAGATAATCTGGATGAACTGACTGCAATTATTAAGTTTTCAGGTGGACTTTCACACTTATAAAAATTATTAAAACTACTTTATTCCCACTGATCACAGCAAATATAGGTGCAAGATTTAGATTATTTAGATGAAAAACACCTGCCAGCCACCGCGGTGAAGAGGAGGAGACCCGGCCCAGAGGCTGCTGTTGAATTAAGTTTTCAGGTAGAAAAATAGAGCGGGAGCAAAACTGAGTATGTTTGTGCTTTATTCATGTATTTATTACAAAGTATTAATCAAACCCATCAAAGTCATCATCCTCTGTTTCTGAATTAAACAGCTGCGCTAAATCAGACATGCCAGTTTCCCCTTCTTCGCTGTCAGAGTCACTTTCCGTGCAGCGCGGCTCCTCAGAAATAATGCTGGCTTTTGCAAAAGCTTGTACAGCAGAGCCAGCAGACACGTTAGTCCAAGCATCTACAATCCATCCGCAAACGGTGGTGTAACTTGCCAGGCGCTGCCTTCCACTTATCCTGAAACTGTGGTCTCCGTCTGTCATCCATCGCTCCCACGCCGCTCGCAGCCTTACTTTGAACGGCCGCTTCACACCGATGTCGAGCGGTTGAAGTTCTTTTGTCAGACCCCCGAGATAACGGCGAGCACAGCGTTTATTTTTTTTCACCATGTTTTTCACATCGGCTGTGAGATGGTCACGCAGCGATGGTGATGCGTGGAAAAAAACACCTGGTCTCCTCACATACACCTGCCTCAGCCACGCTTTCATCATCTCCTCATCCATCCAGCCCTTTCCATTTGCCTTAATATGTCATCAGAGCGCTGTGTCTGCCTCGCTGTCAGCTCCCAGATCAGCTTCTCTGATTCGTTGATGCGGTGCTTCCAGCAGCAAAACTTCAATTTTTCCATCTCGAGCAGCAGCAGCGCGTTGGCGGCGCGCTCCCGAAGCGCTGCGCCTGCTGCTCAAAACGCGCTGCGGGACCTTTTGCTGCGCCTGTACGCTCGTCAACCATTGACTTTGCATGTAAACTCGCTGCTTCTGCTGCACCTGCTGCGTCCGGTTCACAGCGAGCGCATTAATTTGTTTCACCATGTTTTTCACATCAGGTGTAAGATGGGCACGCATGGAGTCAGATTAACAGCAATGGTGATGAGTGGAAAAAAAACCCACCTGGTCTCCTTACATTCACCTCCCTCAGCCACTCTTTCATCATCTCCTCAATGAGGTGGTCTCAAAAGTCGCACTTGCAACACACATAGGGCGCTCCGCACCAAAGGGCGCACCGCACATTTTGAGGGAAAAAAAAGACGTTTATGTGCGCCTTATAGTCGTGAAAATATGGTAATTAATTGTGGGTTTGTTCAGTTTGTTTTTCACAGCAGAAATTGTGTTTGTTAGGATCTAAAATGCTCAATTTTTAACCGAGCCAGCTTTATTTGCAAAGATATTGTTCTTTGGGGCGAAATGTATGAGTTGTAAGTCATGTGTGAGTTTCCACTCAATAATCATGCAGAACTTTCTATTAGTTCTGCTCTACTGGATAAAATCCCCTTACTACATTGGAGTTTTTGCTTGTAATTTGACAGCCCAGGAACAATTTTGAGAGGTGTGAATAGTTTTGTTAGGTACTGTGAAGATCTGATGTAGATATATGTTGTCTGTGATAATATCCAGCAGATAAGGCAATGCGCTTGTTGGATGAAAGCTGCTGGAATTGGTCAGAGAACGAGCCCCAGCCACCGGACCAGGATGGAGATGTGAGTAGCCAGAGCTACTCCCTGGCTGAGCTCTACCCAACGATGGTCAGTCGGATAAGAAGAGCCTGGCATCGGCAGGCTGTCTCTGTGGCCGCCGGCTCTGTGGTGAGGAGGTACCGCAGATGGAGGCAGAGACCTAAAGGAATCCTGAACAGCACATTTGACCTCACAGCAAGACCAGCTGATGGTGGTACAAAAGTTTCAAGCAGTAAGAGGCTGGTCAGAGAGGGATCAGGCAGCCTTTCAAAGAGTATGGGGATTGAGACGATGCCTCATCCTATCCTATCAACTGTGAAGAGCCTGAGTCCCAGACGGCAGTTTCCTGGTAGGAAGAGAAGATTGTCGATTGTCAGACATGCTCATTACGCTGCAGTGATGCAAGGTCTCTCCAAAAAGTCATGCAAAAAGTCCCACTTTGAGGAGCAGATTCCCATCAATGGTGCCACTCCTTCAAAGCGGCACTGCTCTGATGCTGAATCATCCATGGATCAGTTCTTCAAGAGAAAAGGGCTATCTGGTTCTTCGCAGTCAGCGTATGTTTCAACCTACGTAGCAGAAGCTCCCTCTGTGCCTTACATTTACAGCTCCCAAGACAGGCAGAGTCCTTTTAAGGCAAGCAGAATGGGAACCCTCAGTAGGTCACCTCATGCATTTTCCAGAAGCCCCAATGGTTATGGTTCGACAGAGCCTATGACATCTAGATCACCAGCCATCCTTATGCCTTCTCCTCCAAAGAGGTCTGCTGGGCTTCATTACCCCCATGACTCCAGTCGGTCACCCAAGTCGCTGCCCCATTCTCATCTGTCAGCCCAGCGAGCAGAGAGCCACCGGGGTTTCAGACAGCACCTCTCCTTCGACTCCTCCCTGTCACGCCCCGTCTCCATGTCACCAAAGCAAGTGGATGAGGATTTCAAAAAGCTTTACCACAAGTTTCTGTGCTGCAATGAATCCAATGCCTTCAACGCCCCTCCTTGTCGATTGTGTGGAAGGAGCTCTGAGGCCAGAAGGGTCCTCTCCCCCCTGTCTTTGGCAACCCCTGCCTTGTCACCCCACCGCTCCAACCTGAGTAAGTGGTACATGGAGGAGAGTGAGGAAAGCCACCCACAGTCCAAACGCCTCAGGGAGGTTACCTTTACCTACTCCCCGGGGTCGAAAAAGCAAAGCAACGAGACGCTGAGACGGCGTCGCCTATCTCGGTCTGAGGCGGGGCCATCTTTCTGTACAGCCCCTAACAGCGTCAGTGAGACTCAGCAACCCGCAGAAAATGTGGAGGAATGGCTGATCAAACACCAGCCTTTCTTTGCAGGTGAGCCCCAGCTGGAATCCAGCTGATCATACAGACCTTTGTTTGGTTATACAGGTACATTGCAATTACTCAGAGCATCGTTAAACAGTTCATTTATTTCTGTTGGCCTTTAATTATTATAGCTTGCAGCCAATGAAAGATTTTATATTTAGAATACAGATGTAGACTTATAGATTTTTAACTCAAATAAAGTTATGACCTACAGAACTGCAAACATACAAGGTAATTGCTACTGACCCCAGCTTCAAGCACATTCACTGAAATGTGAGTGGAAGTTAAAGGTATTTATAAAAACTGGAGTTTTTAGAAGATTTTGAAGGAAGCTAGTCCAGACTGCATTGAGTTCAGTGCTAATAAAGCAACCTCACACATATTTAGTAGTGACTATAAAGTGACATTCCTTTATAGGCCACTGTAGAACTAACCCTGTCAGAGTTGGCTGGGCTAAAACTAAACCCTTGCTAAGTTACCCCAGGTCCTTCGCTCACTTGAAAGGTTTGCATTTCATCTGGAGGTCAAGGTCACAGTCTGGAGAAAAGTTGGGAGGTGTGGTATACATGTTGCTTGAAGTTTTGGCAGCTATTAGTGGTGCCACATAATCTCCTGAAGGCTGATTTATACTTTGAAACCAGGTCCTCTGCGTAGTTGTCGCAGTGAACAAAAAGCCGTCTCCACCCCCTCCGGTGCACCTTTCGGAAATTGCAACTGACCGCAGACAGTGCCGCAGACAGGAGGCCGGCTTGTTGTTTTTATGACCGAGATTGCAGAAAACAACTCGTCAAGTTCGACCAGCTAGAAGTCATGTCCCTCCGTTGTCAGACTAAACTCTCCCCCACTTCCTCATCGCCTCGGCCGTATGTAGACCTACAGCGTATAGCAAAAACCACGCTTCAATATTGAGCATAAATCAAAAATGTCTGCGTCAAGCTCACTGCGACACACTGCTGCAGGACTATAACCAGCCCTTGACGCTTGGCTGAGTGTTTCCTGAAGCTCAAAGCCAGTACAGCCCCTACTTTATGGGGATGCTGACAATCTTTTCCAGAAAGTGTTGGTACCTGCCCTCACTACTAAAGGTACTGAACGCTTGTTCAATAACCTAGGTGTTACTGGTCTTGAGGGGCCTGACATGAGAAAATCTGAAGTACTGCCAAGAGCAAGCTGAGGCACCAGAACCAGCCAACCCAGGCTTCCTCAACACCTCAGCAAAGCCACAGGGAGATCTCCTCCATGGCACTATGCCTTGATGCAGTGAATCATTGAATAGGGAACACTAGCTATTGAGTTCCTAAACCATCGACTTCAGTAGGCCCTTCTCAGAAAATTAGACATAATCCCAACTTTAGAGCACTTCTGTTGTTCTAATTAAGAGAAACTCAATGTCGGATTTTCATGCACTGTAAGCAACAGACATAAAAACATGTCCTGCACTGATAAACCTGAGATCCACCAATGTGCTTAAATCATATTTTAATGTTAACAGGATGTTCACTTCAAAATGAAAATTTCAAAGGCTGCTCTGGTGATTTAAGTCCTCTGCAAGTATTTCCACTTCCCCTGACTTCAGTATGGTTGTTTTTCTTTCCCAACAGCCAAAGCCTACAGATGAACCAGGACTCATCTGCAGATGTTGACCTACCCTACCTATTCATGGATCATTTTTCCAAGATCTAATTTAAGTTGGGTTGTTTAAAACTTTTGAAACTTTTTCTACTGTTCTTTATCATTATTTTGGTTCTCAGTGATAAAAAAGTTTTGTATTGCAGCTTTTTTTTTTTTTTATTGGCAAAAAGCACCTTAATTTTGTTGTACAATGTTTACATTTCATTTATTAAAAGTTCAAAGGGTTAAAACTATATTGGCAAAACATAGGTTTCTTTGGTCTCAAATCTTTTGTGTTTCTTGACATTTTAATGTTGTTTGGAAATACTTTGATTACACAGAAAAATATACACTTTTGTAAATACATTTGATGTATACATCATGGATCATTTTTCAAGATCTAATTTAAGTTGGTTTGGTTAAAACTTTTGAAGCTTTTTCTACTGTTTATCGTTATTTTGGTTCTCAGTGATAAAAAAAAAGTTTTGTATTGCACCTTTTTTTGGCAAAAAGCACTTTAATTTAATTGTACAATGTTTACATTTCATTTATTAAAAGTTCAAAGGGTTAAAAATATATTGGCAAAACATAGGTTTCTTTTTTTTGGTCTCAAATCTTTTCTGTTTCTTGACATTTTAATGTTGTTTGGAAATACTTGGATTACACAGAAAAATATACAATTTTGTAAATACATTTGATGTATATGTCATGGATCATTTTTCAAGATCTAATTTAAGTTAGTTTGTTTAAAACTTTTGAAACTTTTTCTACTGTTTATCGTTATTTTGGTTCTCGGTGATAAAAAAAAAGTTTTGTATTGCACCTTTTTTGTTGGCAAAAAGCACTTTAATTTTGTTGTACAATGTTTACATTTAATTTA